GGATCACCTGGCACCCCGACTGGGTACCTCCGTTGAAAGATGCTCCTAGCGCTTCCAGAGGACTCCAAGCACTCCACCTGACACCATAAGCACCGCAGGCTGCAGCTATCTCCCTTCAGAACGAAGCAGGAACAAGCTCTTACAAGAGCTCAGTGATTATAGCAAGGGAATATGCCTAGCATAGCAATCCCTTGTAGCAGATTCCCCCAATAAGAGACAGGACTCAAGTTGAGGGTAAAAATAGAACTGTCAAAACCTTTATTCCCTTGGGACCAGCCAATATAGTCACCACAATAACATTGTTGTGAAACCTCAATAAAATCACAAACAGTCAAACCATATCAAGAAACACACAGTGACTTATCACAACACAATGGCACATTTTTAAAGGGGTGGGGGAGACAATATTTAACAGTAAATATCTCACCTGCCTGCAGAATTAGCAATATGCAAATCTACCCGAATATGCAAATGAACCAGTCTTGCAATTCAGGTAGTGCATATTGCTGTTGCTACCAACAGAGGGCACTAGACCAGCTCCATAGCCAAACCCACCTAGTTGGTAGCAAACCTCAGCAGTACAGGAGAGAAGGCAATACATTTCACAGTACACACACACACTATAAACAATTACATTACACACACCCTGCACCTATAATGGGTACAGGGTGACTAAAACATAAGATAAATAAAGCAGCCTACATAAATAGTCTGTCTGAAGGTAGAATAGGGGCTTTAAAGGCAAATACATCAAAGAGTCATAGTCACAGGGGAGGAGGCTGGCAAGCAGGCCTCTCCAGTACCAAGTGGCGAAGGGCACTTCGTCACAGGCACATCCTAAATTCATCCTCCAGCTGATATTTTAGTAAACAAGTACAGTTTCCACTTCCCACAATAGTGCACGAATGTGTGTATATATATATAGAGAGAGAGAGAGCTGCAGGGTACGTAAGACTTGGTGTCTGGCAGTACGTTGAGCAATTTTGAATTCAGTCAGTCTTGTTGTTGCACAGCAACATGACACGTCGAGATGCCTGGGGATTTCTCAGATAACATCTCGGATACACTGTGCGGTGGGAAGCACTAGTTACTTAATATAGCATTGGGTCTGATCTCACGAAGGATTTCCATTCATTACACGTGACAGCAACATTTCAATATCTTGCCAGCCTCATGACATATCTGATGATGAGGACTCTGCAGTCTAAAAAATATATGAGCAAAAATAGTTTTGTGTATGTGTGTGTTTGCATGTACGTGTCTGTGTGTGTTTTGTGCCAATATTATGTCACAATGCTCTTGGCATTCAATTGCCAGTACTTATCACCCATTTCCAATAGGAAATGCTTACTAGTTTAGAGTTTGGCACTTTGAATAAACTAATGTATGAAAAAGTACTTACTATATCCCATGCAACTGCACTGAATGTGATACAAAATACAAAAAAAAAATACTTTTTTCTCAGCTATTTTTTTTGGTCTAAAATGAGCACTTCTCTTGCTAATTCTTCACAAGATACCTATTTAATAAATGACACATCTCTATCTCTCTGTCTCTCCTGCATTTCCCCCAGTATTCTAGAATATGTTATACCAGTTTTATAACTCATATTCCTATCCCGCAATGAAAACAAAATTCACAATTCCACAAGTATAGAAAAAAATCCCTCCAATCACCATAACCACTACAACACAGTAATTATAGTGCCTACGGTCTGCCGGGCACTGCTTCCCCCCTTATGTCAGCAGCCTGAGAGCTGGAAGCTCCTCTGTAGGAGTCCAGGGCTAGCTCTTTGGCTGAGAACATCAGCTGATCACACTCAGAGAGCTACCAGCATTCTGGCTAAGATAGTGAAACTGGGCAGTGACCACTAAAATGGTTTAACACCTTACAATGGGGGATGGGCACAGCACTCCTGGCAACATAACCACTGCAGTGAGCTGTAGTGCTTATCGTGCTTTGGAGAGTTCCTTCTACAGGATAACTAATCGCTCCTGTAAAGGTATTGCAAAAAGAGGTCTAACTACTATATACTACTACTATATAGTATTGTTAGAAATGTTGGATGTTTGCAAGGTTGATGATGAGGATGCTCCCTTTGGAATATCAGAAGACTTGAAAAAGTTGAAAGCCAAGTCCTTTGGGAATGCAGAGAATTTTAGAGCATGATCTTGTTTAAAAACACATTAGTGACTTGCAATCGGTTGGAGTGCCGAAAAATAGGGGTGGAGAGTAATACACTTTTTGGGTTCCTGTAATATAACTCAAAGTTGCTAGGTCATTTTAGTTTACAAAGTGCATTACTTCGTATTTGTCTGCATTTAATCTTATCTGCCACATGTCTGGCCAGCCCATCCAAGTTTAATTTCGTGCCATCTGAAAATATTGAGATATATATTTCAGTGCTAAATTCCAGGATGTTTATAAGCACATTCAAACAAAGAGGAGCATGGAAACGTTAGGAAATAACCTTTGTGCAATTTAAATCTTTCACTTCTGAGCACTTTCCGTTTTAAAAAGGGCACTGGCCAAGAGACTTGAGACATGAGAACTAGTGCTGGATCAAATGAGAATATGTGGAGAAATTTGCATTGCTTAGCAATATTCATATCTATATAGTGCTGGAAGGGAGAGAGAGAGAGGTTAGAGAAAAAAAGAGAAATTATAAAAATTTTAAAAAAATAGGATAGATTTGAATTTCCCAACTTTTTGCACTGAACTGATTAGGAGATTAGGGAGTTTGTGACACCCTTCATTTCTTCATCCAATCCAGGCCAAATATTGTTTCCAGAGTTGATCATATCCCATAAATTCCTGTTTTCTTTATTCTCCTTTTCCAGTGCAATTGTGCAACATCGGGTGGGGGAAGGGTGGGGTGTTCACATCTTGGCAGCTGCTGCCTTTAAAGGAATATTATAGTGTTAGGAATTCAAAGTTGTATTCTTAACATTACAAGGTCTGTCCGGAAAGTATACAGCCATTGTTAATATAACAAGAATGGTTTGCTCGACATCGA